CATCTGCCCAGCTCTGGCATTGACTTCATCTGCCCCAGCTGCTCTTTTATTCCATCTGCCGTCTGCTGCTCTCACTCTGACGTTGGCGTTAGATAAATTCTTTCCAATGCACACGGGCAATGCGTATAGCAAATGGTGTGCCAAACTGACAGCCAATTCAATTGGTATAACAAGAGTGCGTTACACGTGGATGATGGACTAGCAGTTACCCTGTCTTCTTGTCTCTCATATATATGTATTTCAATTTTCGATTATCTGTAGATGTGATATATCTTAAGGTCCGATATTTGAATAAAATTTATATGCTATATAGAACAAATAATGCTCACATATGGTAATAATATACAGATTCTTTTATATATTCGTATATCATTTATTATTTAGTATATATATCTCGACAATCCTTTATTTCCTGCTGCAAAATTGCACTCTTCTGTTACATGTATTCCAACTGAGTGCACACTACTTATATCTGCGCCCATTCACACTACCTACAGGGTATACAAATACGAAATTTACACAAATATGCGCAGCGTCTCCAGCTCTTCCTCCAACTTTAGCTACTTTACTCCCCCACCCTCTCTCTCTCGCTCTCTTCCCCTTGGACAGACGCCGCCAGCTATTGGCCGTGGCTATGTCGGGCTGTCAAACGCGTATCTTATCTTCATTTGCCAAGCCAGCGAGCGAGCAGACGCATTGAACTCGAGCTCGAACTATTCGTAAATATGTCGGCTGTTAGTCGCAGAGCGAGACTCGCATTCACATTCGCATTCGCATTCGCATCCGCACTAGCATTCGCACTAGCATCCGCGTCTGTATCGTTAGTTGAGTGTGGCTTTAGCTGTAGACGGGCATTCTTTCTATTAGCTTGTTGGCCAGTCGTCGGCCTTTGTAACTTGTCCGAAATCATTTGGGCTATTTAACTTTTAAGACTAATTAATTACGAAACGACGAAATGAGCACTGACTGAGCCGAAAGGCAGCTGCAGCATAGAGAGAGCAGCAACAAAAAAAAAAAAAAATTCAACGCCATTCTGTAATTTTCCATTTTCTTTGCGCTTTCCGTTGTTCTTGTTGCTGCCGCTGTGACGGCTGCGGCAGTGGCAGCGGCTGCTGTTGCTGCTGCTGCTGCTGGTTTTTAATTACTTGGCCAAAGACAAGTCAAGTGGCCGAAACCCTGACGTCTATGTCGATGTCGGCGATGTCGGAGATGTCTTGCTGTGCGGTTAAAAGTTAAGCCTGTCGCTTTTGCCCGGTTGTAAGTGGCCAGCACCACCCGACCCAACCGACCCACCCGCCTCGACAACCCAACCAAGTTCCAGTTCCGCCTGCTACCTCTATTATCATGGCCATCGCCTCGCATGTAATTGACGCTGTCGCCTTCTGTGTGAGAAATTCTACTCTGCTCCGCCTCGTCTTCTGCAACTTCTTCTTCGTCATTTTTATTTGGCTTTCTGGGCGGGTTCATGACCTTTGGCTCAGAAACTGGGCGGCAGCTCATTAAAGTTTTAGGATGCGCTTCTTTGTAAGTGAGTTTTAAGTAGCCAGTCGCCAGTGGAAATCGGTAGCGAAAAGAAACATTTATGTCTAGCTGAGTGGGCCATAAACATTTTGTATCTGATTCACTGAGTGTGTGAGGTTTATAGCCATTTTCCACTGAAAGTCAGGGTGGGCGGAGAGAGGGAGGGAGTGCTATTTGGTGGGGAGAGGTGGCTGGCAATCGGAACATCGCCTTCACACTGATTTGGCTTACCATTGTCTTCTGCCAATCTTCATCAATCGTTGAGTTCCACATTTTCGGCATTGATTAACGAACGGATGCGGCATTGAGTTGTAGAACAAGGCAACGCTGCTAACTTATGCAACATGTGTTGTCAGAGCATTGTGTAATGCATTTGAGATGGAAAATGTATGAAATTGAAATGTATTTTTGATCAGTCTGTAGAGTTGATTAAGGTTGTCTGTCTTGATGGCCTTGGCTCTCATTTGGCTGCAGGCATTAGTTGACGTTTGAGTTGATCAGAATCCCATATCAATAAAATCTTGTATTTATATTCTTAAGCGTAAACAAGTTTATGTTGGAAATATTCTTACCGAATTTTATATTTATTACTTTATATTATAATTTAACTTTTATATTCCAATTTAATTAAAACATTTTAAAACTCTTTTAATTAAACTAATAGAAATTTTCTACACTGCTGCGATTCTTTTCAGTTTGTTCTACCACTCCACTTTAATTACTTTATTTCTAAGCTGCTACTATTCTACCACTATTCGCCTTCTACTACTATTTGACTTTTACTACTATTCTTTTACTATTTGACTTCTGCTACTATTCGATTTCTACTATTATTCTATTCCTATTTGACTTCTGCTACTATTCGATTTCTACTACTATTCCAATACTATTCGTCGTTTACAACTATTCCACCACTACTCAACTTATATTACTATTTTATTACTATTCGACTTATGCTACTATTCAATTTCCACTACTATTCTACTACTATTCGTTTTCTACTACTATTCCACCTCTACTCGACTTATATTATTATTTTATTAATATTCGATTTCTACTACTATTCTACTACTATTTGATTTCTACTACTTTTCTACTACTATTCTATATGTCTACACCACTAGTCTCTTATTGATATACCTACACTTAAATACAATCCTTTTTGATATACAAATAGAACTACTACTAAATTAAATTTGCGAATCCGGCTTCGAATTCCAAGCAACGCCTCAGCTATTCGCAGTGGACTTTTAACTGAACTTTTCTGTTTGCCTTTTTATATTGTTTTAATATACATTGTCATCTATGTGTGTACATTGATTCGAAAGCACTTTGTGATGATTTCTTGTGATTAATTTATTTGGCAGTTTGTTAATTAACAACGTCGAGGCAAGCGCAAACAACACGTCAATTGCCAGATTGGGAGATTGAAACATTCAACTTGAACTCGGCTATTAGGCAAACGAGATTTTTGAGCTGTTGCTATCGTTGTGCTTGTTGTCTTTCTGTTATCGCTGCTTGGCCAGCTGGACCAGCTTACCAGCATGCTGCATTCGCTTGGCCATCGTTCAATTAACAGTTGCACACCGCAGACGTGAGACGTGGGACGTCAGACGACAGACGACAGACGACAGACGACGAAGATGGCAATGCACGACGCCAACGCCAACGTAATTGCTCAGGCGACAGTAGCAAAAGCAACAACAATATTCACGAAAACTTGCCCAAAAGCTTAGCCAGCTGACCAGCTTGGCCGGCTTCGCCCCCGTCATTAGCTCCCTTACTCTCACATAATTGCACAAAATGGCGGCGATTAGCGTTTAATCAATTTGGCAGTTGCTTTTGTTGCTGCCTGTGTTGTTGCTTGTGCTGCTTGATATTCTTGCGCGCAATCGTAAAACTGGCACAAGGTCTGGTTTCGTTGCGGTTGCGTGCGCGCCCGCATCTGCCAGATACGAATACAGCCAGAGCAGCAGTTTCAGCAGCTACAATAAGACGTATGGCTGGCCAGCAAAGCGGATCAGCGGCTTTTCGCTGATAAATATTTATATACATACATATACATGTTCATGCGCTGGCAGACTGCGACTTGGAGTTCATCAACTGCGAAACCTTGTCGCCAGCAGCCGCAGCAAACGTGTTCCCCACGAAAGCTGTTAATGCTGTTGGCTCCGACTCCCTGGCCAAGACATAGGACTAGAGCAGCAGCACAGTAGCTATTAGCCGTTGCTCTATCGGTCAGTAGCTATGGTCCAGCCGGAATCCTATATCTGGGCTGCTTTGCTCTGATCGTGTGTAATTGAGCGACTGCCTCAGTTGTGGACAATTTTTGTTAATGCATCTCTCTCTCTCTCTCTCTCTCTCTCTCTCGCTCTTCCACTGCGTATGACGTATTTTTATGACAATAATTGCCTGAACGTTTTCAGTTTGTTTTCTCTTTCCCTTTATGTTTGCTTTTAATTATCAAATCATCACATGATCATTACCAAACTGACAATATGGAAACGTTGAAGCTGATGATGATGTTGATGATGCTATTGCTACTCATGTTGTTGTTGTTGTTGTTGTTGTCGCTGTTGCTGTCTCTCATTTCCCTTTTTATTGGCCATTTGCTGCTGTTGTTGTTGTTTGAAACAATTAATTTTTACATTTCAATTTTGTTGTCATACTTTTTACCCCCTCCGCCCCATCTTTACTCGCACTTTGTTTATTTGCCCAACACTTTTTGACTTTGCATTAAAGCCAAATGCATTTGCAATTAAATGAAAATTTAATTTACATTTTTAAAGCCATCAATTCGGCCAAATGGATTCATTAAAATATGAAATTCTTTTGTGTTATTGAGTATGGCAGGCGTTAAAAATGTGAATAATGAAAAACCGGAATAGCAATTTGGATAATGTGGAAGCGAGTACAAGGGATGCACAGATACGAAATAGATAATATAGGCAAATATATATTATTTTTTAGCTATACGAAAGTAATAGTATTAATTAAAAAATTGTATGTATATATATTTATTAAAATGTGAGCTTAACTTACTAATTTTTCAGCTACTATTCTATAGCTGTATACTACATCTTGATATTCAATCAGCCACGTTTTCGAAAGCTTTCGAGTCATTGTCTTGCTAATTGATTTGTATGTATAGACATTTATATAGTATAGTCATACAGGTCGTGCTTTCCATTGTTTTTGCATTTTTGGCTGTCAGCATTAATAGGATTTGCTTGCAATTTGTCTAGGCTGAGATTACATTTTTGTTTTTTCCTTTAATCAATTCCAGCTCTAGAGCTAATAGACACAATCTCTGCTATGCACTAATCGAAATGCAACCCTTTTACCCGACTATCGATGGAGCACAGCGCTATAAATCAGAAAATAAAATGCTTCATTGTTATCGCAGCGAAATTTACTTTTTCAGCCAGACTCTGAGCCGCAGAGCGCAAAACCCGGCGCCGGGCCTCGGAGCCTTTCACCTTTCAAATTCAATTAACTGCAAGCAAATGGCAAAGCCAATCACCCAAATTTGTAAAACGAATTGCAAAGCGTGGGATGCTCTTCCCGTTGTTGTTTTAGTTGATGTTGTTTTTATTATTACTGTCGTTGTTGTTGTTGTTGTGGATGCTGCTACACAAATATTTGCCATCAACATTTTTGTACGCTAATTTTCTTGGTAAATTTCGAGCTGACATCACGCACGCAGCGCATAAAGAGTGGGTATAGATGAACGAGGGGAAGACCTACCGGGGCTTCGATAGACATTTCAAAATAAAAAACCAAATTGTTGCAGTTGAGCACACACACACACACACGCACACAGAGGCAGGCACTGGGAAGAAGCTAAAGCTGAAATTTCGTCACATATTTTTGCGTAAATTGCCGGAAAATCGCAAATCATGGGAGATAAACATCGAAGAAGTCAAGAAATGAACAGAAGAGGCCAACAGGCAGAGGGTCGAACCGAGCGGATGGATGGATGCTGAACCAAATATCGAACAATGTTAAGCAAACACTTAAACACACACACACACACAGACACTGACACTCGCACAGCTATGCCGAGATGTGCTTCCGCTTGCGCAAGAAATGAAGGCAAACCAAAAAAAAATAGGGAAAAAAAAATGCAGGACGCAAAAAAAAAAAAGAAAAAATGGCAGATCAAACAGACAAAGCGTCTGGCGGTTGGCGGCTCAGTTCTGCGGTGTTGCCGCCTGTTGTCGAAGTCAATGATGCCAATAAGCGGTGCGCGAGGTAGCACGGGCCAGAGGCTGGCGCTGAGTCTGAGAGCTCGCCCCGAACTGCATGAATCGAATGCAGTGTAAAACGTTTTCGCTACGCTTGAATTGAATTGCCAAGGGGCTGCAACCAGCAGCCAGATCCACAGCAGACAACACAGTAACCGTCGCCGTCGTCGTCGCTGTCGTCGTCATCATCTTCATTTCCGCAACTTTGGCTGGCAAATCTCGGCGTCACAATTCGCTGGCTTTCCAGCCCTCACTTGCCAGCTCTGTTGCCTCGGACTAATCTTTTGCGTGGCGCTGTTGATTCTTGTCGGAGTTGTCGGCACGTGGTGCTGGCTGACACTACTTAGAGCAACAAAGTTGAATGTTCAATCAAAATTTTAAGAGGTACAGCAAAAGCATTATCATCAATAGAGTGAGAGAGACAGACACAGTTATATATTGAAAGCATAGGATAAATTTAAGGCAAATTAGATGGTCTTCATCTGTTTGCATCTACTTTTCTATTATATTGTTATCAAATATAGAAGGAGTTTAATATGAAGATAGAGAGAAGGAAAAGGGTTAATGACGGAGACAGAGATTAAACGTTATCAGACAGACAGATGCTTCGGTACAGAGACAAGCATCAGAGATGAAATAAGACTCACTGACTTTTATATATAATGCTGTGCTTTAGCCTGCTCACACATACTCATACAGACTCTATTCTTAGTCACACTCAAATCCCACTCGCCTTTAAAAGGCCAGATTGGCATCACTCTGCCGCCCTTTGCCTTTTGGGTTACGAGTTCTCTTAGCGCTTGTCAGACATTTGCTCCAATCACGCCGTTTTTTTCGGGACTCTGATCAAATTTTGATTTTCTCGATTTTCCTTGGTGTCGCCTCTGCTCAACTCTGTCTTATATATATCTCATCGAATTTGCAAATTATTTGGTAAGCAGCTGTTTTTTCTTCTGCTTCTTCTTGTTGGCTTTTCGTTTCGCTTCAGGGACCACAGTGGGATTTTAATTCGTATTTAGACGCAGCTGCTAAGCAAAATCTTTGCTGTATCTGGTCGGCGACGATGTTGTTGCTGTTGTTGTTGTTGTTATTGTTATTGCTCGTTGCTTGTTGCTGTTTTCCAGCTCACTTCACTTGAGTTGATCTTCTAAGCAGTCGACTCGCGCGGCCTCTCTTTGGTTTTGCTGGCCATAAAATTGAATTTAGTTTGATTGCATTTGATTGTAGCTTATCAGATCAGCAACGCCAACAACAACAACAGCAGCAACTACGATTTATGCATCGTTAACTTTTTAGTGCAATTGCACACACACACACACATACACTCAGAGACTGACAGCATTTGCATAATGCGCTCGCTGCGTCTGCCAAAAGGGACTCGCTTTGAATTTAATTTTATTTTAATTAAGTTTTTGCCTAGACGCCATGCAACATTGTGGCTGCCACGTCTTGTGGCGCAGCGCTGATGAACTGCCGACATAAGCCGCAGCCCATGTGAGCAATGCATTTCAAGACTTGACGCTAAGGCCTTGGGCGCTGCTGGCTGCCAACTGCCTGACTGTTGGCTGCCATTAGAAAAACTCTCACTTTGGTCTATTAATGATAATTCACACGGCAGCCTCAAGTGCTTTGTGGTGAAAATTATGCCGCGTTAATTGCACCTGTTTCAAGGCAAACGCAATTTGGCCTGCCTTTGCCCGCTGAGCCATTAAACTGGCTGCTGCGCCCTGCGCCACTGCACCACTGCACAACTGCACCACCCAATTGCAACTGCATCAACTGCAAATCTCAATCTGAATCTCAATTTAAATCCAAGTCTGGCCATGACGTGCTGCGGCGTTTTCTAATTGTTGAGTGTTTTACACAAGATTTGCACAGTTCGCTGCACAATTAAATGCTGTCAAAATTTTCCAACTGCCACGCCTCACGCCCCTCGCACCATTGTGTGTGTGTGTGTGTTTCTGGCCCATCAGCTTTTGAGATTTGAAATCTCGAAATGCCTTTTGATTGTCGCTGACTGCTCTCGGCACCAATTTTAAAATCATTTTCACACACGAATGCATTTCGCATTTCACAATCCGAATTTCGCATATTTCAGCCCCCCGCCCCCACCCCTCCAGGAAATGTTTTTAGAGCGCGGCCAGCCACCCCCATCCACGCGATAATGAACCCGCCAATAGGCGTGAAATCAAGCAAACTTTGTTTATCTTTCCCCAAAAAAGCCAAAGAGAAATAATCGTTTGCGTGTGCAAAGATTAAAATGTGCTGCACAAAACGTGCGCAAAGCTGCGAAACATTTCCAAAAAAAAAACATAAATAAATAACTAAAATAAATATATATATTTATTAAAAATTGATATTGTAGTCTCAACTATATCGACTGCCTACACAGCAACAATAATGATATATCATTTTGTTTTATTGTTTCGTTACATCCAAATGCACTCAGTTCATAGCAACGAGCCAAAAAGTCTCTGAGGTAAGCAACAAATTGCAATATTCTCACGTAATACCCATGTTTTCCGCTGCACAGCAGCATTATAGCGCCTTAGCAGCTAATTATATGTGATTATCGAAATAGTTTTATTCGTTTACTATGACTAAATGCAGTCGGAGGAGTGGGAGGCATTGACTACACTCAAAGGAGTTGGAAACTATAATTTATTTGTTTATTTTATGATACAACCGGGGTCTTTAAACGATATGGTACATTTTTGATATAATAATAATAATTTTAATTTAAAATTCAATTTTAAATATCAGATTGGTTGGACTGCAAAGAAAAATAAAAATATAAACATTATAAAGTTGTTAAAGAAAAGATTGGATATTTAGGTTCTCTTCAAGAGTAAATAGCATTTCCTAACTCAATTTTGCGCTGAGTGTACGCTCAACTTCATTTAAAGACTTCATTAAGGTCTGAAGTACTCAGCTTTAGTAATTGTCTTTAAGTCTGGGTCATAAAGACTTACACTAATAGCATAATAATAAAAATACACAAGTCATTAGGGCTTAATAGTTGGGCCAAAGTACTTTGGGTCACTCGAGTGGAGCGCATATTGATTTGGTCAGCTTTCACAGCTTCCTATTTTGGAGTGTTATCAAAGTTGACGCTGCGGTTAGCCATGAGCTACATAATAATTAACGCTGAGCATGAAGTTCATTGCGTTCGAGGTGCCACAGAGAGGGGGGGCGACGCCGGCTGGACTGTGGGCGGTAGGTGTTGAGCGTCCGGCGCAGACCGCAAGGCCAATCAAAGCGTCATTGAAACGGAAACGGAAACTGCAAGTCAAATGACATGCGGCCGCAGGAAATGAAGCGCCGAAGTGGTCAAGAGAGTGGCAAAGAGGCCGCAAATTAACGTTCAGCGTCTCACTCAAAGAATTCAGCGCGGCTGCTTCTTCACTTTTTGCCACGAATCCCTGATGAATTATTAAAAATGATCAGAGCCGAAAAAATATCAGCCATGGCCCGGAACGGGCAACTGGAGCAAGTTTGTCAATGTCGCTGTTGTTGTTGTTGTTGTTGTTGCGCTGGCTGCAGTTGCAGCTTGTGGCTTGAATGAGCGCTCAAATGAACACCGCAATGAATGTGCGCCGCATGACAAATACGTAAAGTTTCTTTTGAAATTAAGCAGCATTTGCTGCCAATTCTTAACTACATCAGCGGCAAACTTTGTCCTCAACCGCCACGCTGTGTCTCGCACTCAACGAGTTTTTCAACGCTATACCCTATTGTGTGTAGGCTAAGAGAGGGTATATAAAAGTCAGTGAAAGATTATAAGCATATGAATGAGTATAAGTATAATTAGAATACTATTAATGTAGAAGACTCTCTGCGATTCCTTCTTCTATTTCTCTCCGATTGAGCTACCTAGCTAAGCGGTATCTCTTAATCGTTCACACGCTAAACCTGAATTACTTTTGTGTTTCTTTTGGCTTACCATTGCTGGCACTTTTTGCCAGCACTCAGCTCTCAGCTCTTGGCTGCTGCAGGTCCAGGGCCAAGCCGAAGCGCTTGCTCATTTCAAACTTTTGACACAGAAACTAATTTTGGCAAGCGGGTGCTGCCAAGCGAGCAGCCGAGCAGCTCCTGGCACCTAACTACTGGCTCCTGCTGGCTGGTAGCTCCTGGTTGCTTTCCGGGTTTTTGCCATCGTCTTCTGCTGTGCATTTAGTGGCTTTTCATTCTTTTGCTGATTGCAATATTTCATTGCCTTTGCGGTTCGTGTGTTGCATACTTTCCAGCGACGCTGAGGTTTGCCTTAATTAATTGCCCAGCCCGCTCTGCCGCTCAAACAGCACCGAATTTGCAGCGATTGGCGCAGTTGTTCCTTAGTTTCTCTCCATTTCTCTGCCCACTTCATCCACCTCCTGCTGCAATCGCCATTGTCGCCAGACAGCTGCATTTTTCGCGCGCCGCCTGCATTTTAAAGTGCTTCGCCATCGAATGGCACTTTAATTGCCATTTGATGTGATTTACGTCGCCTTGATGATGCCGTCACATCCCTCCCTTTTGCCTCCACTTTACAATTAACGCGTTGCCAGCTGACAGAGGCGTGCCATACCCCACTGGGCTGAGCCTTGACCCAACAAATCTATCCAAGCGCGCGGCCATCAAATCAGCGTGTCTAAACTTTGCATATCCAATTCTCTTCTCTGATTTACAGCATTTTGATGATGCGTTAAGTGAGTGTGCGAGTAGAGTGTGCGTGTGTGTGTCTCGATGCTGACAAATAAATTCTGCATTGAGTAATTGAAACTGACAGTTGAGCAACGAGTTCAAGGCAATAAAACAGTAAGCGAACGAAATATATAGAAATTCATAGCCAACACCTCACACACTCAGTCAAGTCAATAAAAGGTATTTAAAACTGAAACATGAAATAAAGAACAATAAAAGCTTATTTTCCTGTTTCCTCAGAGCAAAAGTTAAGCGGCGCACTTATAAGTAAATGCTGAATGCTGAAAGCAACAAGCTCACAAATTGATAAACATTTAAAATCCATATAAGCTACTTTTGTTTTATATTATTTTCTCTGAAATGGCAGCATTTTGATCAACCTTTAATACCCTCTATATGCTAGAGGTGTGAAAGAGCTGGGAAAGAGAAGAGTATATTGTTGTTTGAGAAAGACTGAAGCGTCAAATATATCTATCGTTGCAGCACTTAATAGCTACAGCGGTTCTTTAAATATATTATAAATATTATAATTATAAGAAATTATATTCAACGAATGAATCATTCAACCATCAATTGGATATTTTATATTAATACAAAATAAATAACAGGGTATATGCTAGTCCATCACAGTCTATAGACAGTTTCGTTTCTTGCACTTTTCACCTATACAAATTCATTCAGAAATGTTTTAATTTCATTCAGCTCTCAACAAACTTTCAATCTGCTAAGCACACACACATCCACATATATGCACACCTACACACACACACCATACACACACGTAGCATACGTAAGGCAAATGCAAACAATTTTCTTTGAAATTAAACCATTAAATGAGGCCAAAAGGCAAAGCTAAGGATATGAATATTCTGTTGATTCTGTTTTGCAATCATATTTGGCCTCCGTCCGTGTGTGTGTGAGAGTGTGTGTGTCCGATACGGGAGCCTGGTGTGGAGCGGCATGGCATTGGCTAACAGTATATGTGTATAAACTGCCTCAATCAAAGCACCAGCCACGCCCAGCTCGCATCTCTCCCCTCTCCCCACCACAGGCGAGCGTGTCTTAAAAACAATTAATGAAAATTTTATTATACTCTCGAAGAGTTTTATGCGAATATGACGGAGGAGGGAGGGGAGTGTAGGGGGCCAGGCAGCAGCCGCATCGAACGATGACCAAATGAGTGTAACAAATTTTTGCGCACAAATTGCAACAATAAAAATTAGCAATTGAGATGCGCTTCTTTCAAAGTCAATTAGCAATTCGCAAATACACGATGGTAAAAACTAGGAAAAGGCAAATTAAATAGCGCCTCGCATGGCAACAAATTTCACCCAAGCCAAGTTAATAATGCAAATGGAAAATGGCTATGGCAATGCCAAATGTGAAATACGAATTTTGCATGGCAACGGTAGCTGCATCCACACACACACACACCCACACATACAGAGATAAATGAAGCAATGGGCTAAAGAGCTGATTTCATTTCATTCGCAATTTAACTCTTGCGCTTATTTGTCTGTCGAATGCAAACGCTTTTTGGAGTCTTCTCTACTAGAGGGTATTTCGATAATAATATCAAAGATGATGAGTATAAGAGAGGAAAGAGAGCAAAGCTGATTTAGCTTCATTTGATTTGAAATTGATAAGCATAGAGGTCAACTGTCTTGAGTTTCTATATTGCAGAAATAATTGATTGAAAATTATATGTCTATGATGAGTGAATATATAGTGAAGCTACAGTAAAATGAGTTTCCCATTTATTTAATATCCCAACTCCACTAGTAAAGTTTTTCTTTCTCTTACATTTGCATCTAAATTCAGATCATCACTGAACAGCTTTAGATATATGAATATAATAATCGACAAACATTTCTTTTCGAGGGTATTACATTCTCGCCTTGTAGCTTCATTTTTCGCCTTTTTTATCTTTGCTCTACCCGCTCAAATTTCTGCAATTACCGTTGCATGCAGAGCGCATAGCTAAGAGGAAGGGGGCGGGCAAACAGCTGAGCAGAGCAGCAATTGCATTTTCAATATTTTCAGCAGCAGCAGCAATGGAGGCAGAGGCAGAGGGAGCATCATCATTTTTTTTGTACGTTTTGTCCAGATTCTTGTGTACTACGTCTATAAATTTTTAACTACAAGCTCTTGAATGCAATTACTTTTCAATCTTTTTGCCCTTCACAGACTCTCAGACGCAGACGTAGACGTAGCGTGTGTGTGTGTGTGTATGTGTATATATAGTTGAGCGCGAAAATTGCTTATTTCAACATTGAAGTTACCCAAGTTGCGCCAGATTTAAAAAGGAAAAGTTTGCCATAATTTTGCCAGAGGTATATCACTTGATGTTGTTGCTTCTCTTCTTATTTAATTTTTGTTATTTTTTTTTTTCGTCGCTCGACTATTTATTTTGTGCGAAAAAGTAGGTTGAACTTTGTTTTATTTGATCTAGAAATTGACATGATTGTTTATGCAGAAAGCGGACAAAAAAGAAACGAAGGAAAATTGCAATAAAAAACAAAAGTAAATATGAGAAAGTTGTGCGACACTTGCCATTCATCCATATTTTCTTCTGCCTTCTCGGGCAGACAGTTATAAAAGTTTATCTGCTGATTTAGGAGTCGGAGAACGGAAAACGGAAAACAAGCCATGTCATACTGCGCTAAGTGTGAAGGAAAGCACATTAATCTAAAGGCTTACAGAGCTTAGCGAAAGCCAAGCTCAAGGCGCTAAAAAAAGAAGTAAAAAAAAAAAAAAAAACTAAATCGAGATGTCGCCGAATCGAGCATTCGGCAATAGTCGAACAGCTTTTGCGATCATTAATGAAAAACGAGCTGGCAGCTGCTGCCAGCCAGCCAAAACGGACTAGAAACTAATCCTGGTTACCCTTTCGCCAGGACGGCATGCAACTGCTTGTCGCGGCTTGTTCCACAGCTGCTTGGGAAACCACCCAGTGGGATGCTCGCTGCATCTGTATAATCTTTTTATAGGGCAAGCGATTTTTTTCTTCTTTTTTGACTATTGCTGACTGGCCGGGCGGGTGGATTAGCGATCGGATTAAGAATGAACATGTTTGCAAAATACGGCAATTTTATGATGCGCAAGCAGATTAAGAATGAATTGTTTTTTATTGCGGCACAAGTCAAAAGTGCAGCAGCGTAACAGGTAGAGCCCGACCAGGTAAGGGTTGACACGGACTGACCTAAAAAAGGACCCCACTACAGGTAGTTCCCACGCCGGGCAATGGTATAAAAAGTCGAGCAGTCGCTGCAAAGGGCATCAAACGCAAAGCAAACTGTGTTGAGGCAACAACTGTCGGAGCAACAGGAGCAGCAAACGATTCTATTGACAATATCAACTTCAATCACAATCAGCAGAAACATGTCTCGCCATCAGCAACTTGCCAACGAGCAGCAGATGTACTACCCACAGCCGCCCAGTGTGGGCTACCATCTCTACTTGTATCGGGAGCAGCTGGCCAGGAAGAATGTGGAGTACATGCGTCTATCGAAAGCCAAGTACTTCATCACCGAAACACTGCTGGCCAAAACGGTGCGCAACTTGAAGGCCTGCAGCCTGGACGAGCTGAAGACCGTCAACAATCAGATTGTGTTCAAGCACAAGCTCAAGCATCAGATCTACCGCCTGCGAAAGCTGCAAAATCTGGGCATTAGGAATGCCAATCCGCAGATGGAGAGCACTGAGCTCTAGGGCAACCATCGCAAGATCTATTCTAAGTTAGTTTTTAGTGGCGGGCACTGCATGCAATGTAACACTATCGTATAAGTTCTTAGCTGATAAATGAAGTCAACTGTTGAATGAGCTTTTAATATAACTAAAAGTCATAGCTAATAGTTGTAAGCAATTAAAGAAACGATTCAATTTAAATGCATTTGCGATGTCTCTTCTATTTTTGGCTTAAATAAATCTGACACATTTGACCGCCACGCAAAACCACCCACACTACTCTATTGCACCTCTCACTCTCTCTCTCTCCCACTCTCAAACCGAGGCTGAGGCCAATTGCGGCGGCAACTAATTGAGTTGCCCAACGTTTTGACATGTGTCAAATGAAAGTCGCACAACTGCCAAGAAATTTCAATTCGACTTGCGCAGCGTGCCAGACAGCTATCAGGCAAACCAGCCAACCACCCAACCACCCAACCACCAAACCACCTAACTGACTGACAGCCTATTTGCTACTTTATTTATGCATAAACTTGTGTGCTTTGCACTTTTGCAGCCAAACAGCAACAGAGATATGTGACTTGCCCAACAAATATGCAAAGATGCACATGTTAAAGGGGCGTGGCGCACAGCTAAGAAATAAAATGTACAGAAATTTTATTATTTTCTTAATTAAAATTCCATTTCCAATTGCAGCATTTTTTTTAACAAAAAAAAAAAAAAAAAAAAAAAAATGAATACAAATTGTAAATTAAATTCTTAAATATTATTTCTCATTTGTAGCTCTGACTCTGTCTCTGCCTCTGTCTCTCTTCCTCTTTCTCTTTCACTCTTCAATTAACATTTTAGCTAGCATAGCTTAGCGGATATTCGCTTTCAGACTTCGAGACGTACTCAACATGTTCAGTTATTCAGAAAATTCCTCTTTTTTATAATAAAAGTTTAATACAGGTAATAAATCGTCAAGGCGACAATTTGATAGCTCTCTCTCTCTCTTTCCCTCTCCCGTTCACACACTCTGTAAGCAAGTAGAGTGGAATCGCGTTTTCAATCCGCCATAATCCCAATCAAGAAATCATATATTTTTTTTGATCCGAAATCAATATTAAATGAAAATATGAAAAGCTGAAATTGATGTGTTAAATCAATTCGGTAATACGTAATTCTTTTTACACTGCAATTAAATATTTTGGCAAAGTGCTTTACACTTAACTTAACGCCAACATAATTATTTACACTTGAATAATATTCATAAAATACCTGCACCACCCACAGTGCATATGTGTGCATATGTGTATTTGCGTGCATGTAAACATGCGGCATAATAAATAAATGTGGTGCACATTATGTGGGGCCAGTAAGTCGATTTTATTATTGAAAATTGCCTGCGATAAACGGTTCAAAGAGCAAGGGCATGTATACATAATGGATGTGCGTGCATATGTGTGTGTGTGTGCTGATTGCTTAATTGTCAATACAGATACACACACACATGCATACTTACACAACTGCCAGCCATTACTGCAATTTGCAAAACACTCAAAAGTATGCTATGAAAAATGTTGCACACATTAAATTTTCCACACAATCAATTTCTTGACACACACACACGCGCACACAACGTCTATCGTTGCCGCTGAAGGACATATGTTAATTTCTATAAAATATATTTATTTATGCAACTACAGACACACACTCACTCACACACACACACACACAGCTTAATCGCTTAAACTTCCTGCTGTCAATTATGATGCATATGAAGTGCTGTTTGTGTCCCAAGTTTTTTCAAGTGTAAGCAATCGCATTTGCAATATAAAGCAGATGCTTCTCACATTGTGCTGGCAACTCGACTGACTCGACAATTATGCGGCTTTGCTCGGTCAGAGTTGCTTTGCATAACACTTGAAATCGTTTTGCAATGGCTTAGGAAGAATTTATGCCATAAGAAATGGAACTTTAAGTTCTATTAAATCACAATTGAAAATATGTTGGCTGCTTCAATGCAAGTTCACTTACCTGGCTTATGCCTTACATTTCGCCTCACAATGCTTAATTTGCTTTGGCTTCTGCAGCTTGCAGCTTAAGCCTTGCTTTGATCATCAATCAGTCCGTCTTTCACATGCTAAGCATAGTTTTTGTAGTCCGGCATAGTTTTCAATTTGCTAAGTCGTAAACTGAAAGCGACAGCTGCGCCTTGGTCGTCGAGTCGATTAGTGCGCTTCATTATGAACATCATTTTCATTATGTTTATTATGAGAAGCTACGCCCAGCCAGCCCCGCCCACTGTTGGTGGCTTCTACAAACACTTTGTGTTGCTTGTGCTTGTGCTTGCGTTCGTCGGCGTCCTTGTCGAGCGGTTTCAAGTTAATGCAATAAATAAAATTTCAACTGCACCGCCGGGCCTGTTTAGCCGCATGAAAAGCGACAGTAAGCCCTGCCTGCATAAGAAGTTGCCTGTTTATCTTAGACCGGGCCTGCCTTTTGTTTGCCTGCCTCGTCCAGGACTCTGTCGGTCTCTCGGCCCTCCCCCAATCTCTGACCCGTTTCTATGGCTACCGACCTGGCTGTTTTCTTTTAGCAAAAATAATAAAAAAAAAAAAAAGTAAGCGAAGGAGATGGTAAACTTGTGGGAGGCCTGGTTAGTTGGTTAGCACAGTTGCTTGGCTTAGCTGGGCTTGCCCTGCCTTGGTTGGGCTTTCTGGGCTTGCTTGGCCGGCTGCTCTAATGAGTTTACAAAAAGTTTTGCTTTAACAAATGCGAGGGTGGCCGGCCAGCTGCTGGCTGCCCAGCATGTTATACAAATTGCAGTAGCCCGGCAAAACTGTCATCAACGTGTCCGAAACGTGTGCAGAAGCTGAGACGGAGCCTGAGCAGGAGGCGTTGCTGTCATCTATTTGCTTAACCCATGCCCATTTATGGGTGAGGCTGCATTGTACCTGTTTACCATGCAACTAGACGACGACGACGACTGACTCCGGCGACTATATAGCAAAACTTTTTCGACATTTATGTGCAGCCAGAATATGCATTTTAATTAGTTTAGCAAAGTTGTTGCCTTTCTCTGCCCAGACTTGGCCTCGTTGCTCGCCTCTGCGTCGGCGTCTGGTTAATTACACAAATTTAATGGCTGCTCTAGCAAATGTTGCTGTTAGAGTTGCTGCTGTTGCTGCTGCTGATGATGTTGCTGTTGCTTCTATTGCTGCTGCATTTGTCACTGCGCTTTAATGTGTGCTGTATGCTGCAAAGTTTTGCATGCCTACGAGCTGCAGCCGCAAAACTTGTTAACATTTCACAAAGCAGCAAATTCAATTAGTTGCATGTAGACAACTAAGAACAACTGCAAGTCCCTGCCTGCATGCCTGCCTGACTGCCCAATACACTGGAGCAACTAGTTGCTGAGGCAGTTGGGGGTCTGTTGAGCTGCATTCAATTGAAGGCTTAGCCTATTGAAATTTGAGTCTGCTATATGTATGTATGTGTGGGTGTGTGTAGAGTATATTGGTGTGGAGTATGTGTAGAGCCCTCTTTAAGGTGGACAGCATGGGAGCCTAGTCTGTCTGCCAAATTAATTTATTTACTCCAGCTTCTAAGACTCCATTCAATTCTGGGAATTTGTAGATGAAAGCTGGACGCTATGATTGCCTTGCTTGTGATGGTAAGATAGCTATTTAATCCTATATATATTTCAGTAGTATTTAGTGAGAGAATTTGGCGCTTTTCATTATAGAAGATATATAGGATAGAATAGTCAAAGAGAGGTTAGGATATTACGATCATAAGAGTAAAAATGGAGTGTAGAGACGCAGTACGAATCCACAAATAAGCAAGAGAAGCCGCTCACAGCTATAACAATTGTTCATACTTAATATACCCTTTCACACATAATAAACAGAGCATACTCTCACTCACTTTCTTTTACCCTATCTCTACTATGTAACCATATTCTCTCCCTTTCACTCTCTCTCTCTCTCTCTCCGTGTCTCTTTCTATCCCTGCTGTCTTCAGCTTGCATTCATCTAACTAAATTACTTAAAGTTGCTGCTGGAGCTGCAGCAACTGCTGAGCACTAACTGCATCTAGCTGTGATAAATCTTTGCCGCCCCGGCGTTAGCAATTTACTTAACAATTTTCGTCTAAGCGTATAAATTAATATGTCCAAGCATAAATCTGTTGACTGTTTGTGGGCGCTGCAGCAGACACTTGATGCAACAGCAGCCGGAGCGACACAAAAAGTGCCAACAACAATGGCTTATTAGAATTTTCAATAAATTAATTTCAATATAAATAAAGTGCAACATGCGCTGCCTCATTTTCTCACTCTCTCTCTCTCTCTCCTTTTCTCTAGTATCACCCTGTCAATCTGCCAGCTTGGGCGGCAGTTCATCTTCGTCTTCATTTTCATTTTCAGTTTCAGATGTGCCCCAGTTCTGTGTCCTTTCACGTTGCACACGTCAGCGTGCGGCGCTCTCTTTAAGCAGCTGCTGCACATTTCACTCAGCGCTTCCGACTCCTCCGACTGCTCATCCCCATGCGCCATCTCGACTTACTTGGCCTGAGCCGTGTTTAGCTGCTTGCGAATTGAGCGCCCCAAAGCGGCGATTATGTCGTCGACTTGCTACATGCTCCACGCCACCCGCAAGCCCCTCCACCCGCCCATCGCTCACCTGTCCGTTAGCTGCTACACATTCGACGCTTCGCTCCTGCTGCGCTCATTGCTCAGCCAATTTTTCTTGCTGAATAAATTAAGATGCTCTGCAAAGCGGCTAAATTAAATTGTTAATTTGTATACCCTGTAGGTGCAAGAGCAGGAAATGGGAGGTGCTGCTGAGCAATAGATTAAATATATGTATACCTGAATAATATATGTATATAATCTCTTATTACAGAACAATAAATTATACATAATTTATATAGATTTATTTCCTGCTTGTTGTCAGCCTTTCACGATTCATACAGAGCATTTGCCTCTCCATCAGCTTAATCTCTTCAGTTTTCGCTTGCTTTACAGCTGCTGCTGCCATTGCTTATTCACAGTGCGTATACTTGATGTGTCTTTAGTTACCTAAGCGATGCTGCTGCTACTGCTGCCGTTGCCATTGGTTAGCCTTGATCTGTGAGTCGCCCGTAACACAACTCAACTCAGCTCAGCTTTGTTCTGCCCGCAACTCTCTCTCCTTCCGCGCTGGAGCCGCTGCTGTACTTAGTTGTTAACTCATTAGGTTTCCGCTGATTTTTAAGCCGCTTATTGTATGAGCACTGCAGCGCCAACCGCAGCAGCTTAGCCTAGCCAGCTGCATCTCTTGTGTGTGTGTGTGTGTGTGTGTGTGTGAGCTCTAATTACATTTTAAATGTTTCAAGCATGCTTCTAGCTGGTCTTGAGCTCTTTTAATTGACAAATGATTCGCTCAACTTTAACCTGAAGCTCACTCAATTAGCTGTGACTGCGACAAGTGCAATGCTTCGGTTGGCATTTGTTTTTAGCCACTGTGGCATTGCGTTAACTACTTTTTTATATGACCATCAATCTGTGGCCAAGTTTTGTGGGTGGCACCGGCGCCAGCAACAGCAACAACAGCAACAACAATCGAGAACTTTTGTGCGCGAAGTCAAGTTGAAAATATATTGGAAAATGCAGTAGTAGTTTTTCCGTGCTTGGGCAAAAGTTTTCGTGCTTGTTTTTTTGCACCCTGATGCGCGACTGGCTTTGCCTTTGCCTTTGCCTAAACTGACGTAAATTTATAATGACAAATTGCATTTGGCACGGAGGAAAAAAAAGTGAGCACTATGGCCAAAAGGAAATGGAAAATGGCGAAGATGGAGAGCTGCAGCCAATTGAGCGTGAAAAATTATGATGCACCACGGCAGTGAGAGAGTGTGAGTGAGAGAGAGAGTAGACAAACGTAAAAAACGGCTTTCAACTTGGTCAAAAGACAATCACGGCGCTTAATTATGGGCTGAGTGTCAAGTGAGAATTGTGGTAAATCCGCTTAAGTTCAAATTAAACCCTGATGCAAATGTATTGTCTGACGACTAATTGAGCAGAGCAAGGTAGTGGGGGAGTGGGGGAGAGATTATAACTATGTATATGTATGTGAGCATGTGGGATGTGTGTAAGTGATTCAACAAGCTTAGACACAATTAGTGGGCAACTAAAACTAAATAGCTACAACGGCAACAACTGCAATTAGTGTAATTGCATGCAGTTCATCAGAGTATTAGAAGCAAATCTGAGAGATTCGCAATGACAGATATTTAACCACTGCATCACATTATTGGCCGTACCATCGGCTAGTCTGGCCACAAGCCAGCCGAACGCAGCCACAACTGAACTTGGCAAGCACCTCAAAATAACCTGGCTTCAAATTTCACTCAAAACATTTTGCGTTTTGTAGCTGTTCTTGCTGCTGCTGTTTGCTTGTAAAGAGTATTATGAGTTGCCTAGGCAGTTTGCTCCAGCTTCCATTGGGGTGTGTATGATATGAATGAAGTGAGTCAGTCAAGCAGCCTCATTGCCAGGTCGGCTATATGCTATATATAGCTACTCCTATCACAATTGCAAAACAAAGCCTTTCATTTCCAAATAATTCTTCCTGCTTAGCTTAACTCTAAGCAAATGCTTTCAAGTAGCTTATCATATCATATGGCATTCCTAGGAACCACCCATCCTTTGGGTAATCGTATGCAGCCGCAAGAGCATTTTCGGTTCGTCTTTTGAAACTAGAGTATTATATTTTTATTGTTATTGCGTTTGGGCCGCCAACGGCGCTGGGTCATGGCAACATTCTGCCCAAATGGGCGTCACGCGATAAAGCAAAAAATGACACGTTTTTAATTTTACTTCACACCTACACAACAACAGCAACAGCAGCAACAGCGCCAACGACAACGACAACAACTTGACAACAGCAACAACTGAGCAACAACAAGGAGAGGCAGCCATGTAATCAAAACTGCAACAGAGCAACAGTCACAACAACAACAACCGGCAACAACAACTGGTAACTGGCAACTGGCAACTGGCAACAATGCCGTGGGTGCCAACTATAAGAACGCAATGTATAAGGCGAGCAAGAGAAAAATTAGATTTATCACGAGTGGTTGCCGGAAAAATTGTCAACATTTATCAACATTTTTCAACGCGCGGCGACGTGTTTCGCCAGCAATGCAGCAACAGCAACAGCAACGGCAGCAGCAGCAGCACCTCAAGAAAAAGAACAACAACAACAACAACAACAGAAGCGAGAACAACAGCAACAATTGTAACGGTAACTAAGCTAAAGTATGCCAACGTTTGGTCCAAGGGTCCACATAGCGCCAGTGTCCGGTCCAAGCAGCAGCAGCCGGAGATGAAGACTGAGACGGAGATGGTGACGGTTGCGTTTGATTAATATCCAAAACCATGAAGCGCGCCAGCAGCAGGAAGCTGAGCTGGTCACCAGGAGCAACAGCAACTTGAACTGTAAGCCGCTTGCAAAGATTTTGTGGGCAGGCGGCTGATTGTGAAAAGTGGTCACGATGACGACCAAAAATTCACTCGCGAAAAATGAAAACAAAGTTCAGCAGAACAGAAGCAACAGCAAGCAACAACAACAGCAGCGACAGCAAGCAGCAACATCAGCAGCAGCAGCAGCAGCAGCAACAGCCGCAGAAATGAGTACAGCAGAGTTGTCCAAAAATGGTCGCCATTGCCCAATAGCCGCACCTCTTCCGCTTCATCCACCCCTCCCTTGTACACTTCGTGGTTGCGCTTCTGTCGCCCAGTGAAAGCAGCTTCAAAAGGAACTTTCACAGCTTGACAGGATGCGCGGGGCGGGGCTAGGTGAGATGAGTGTGGTTTATATGCTTTTGACTGCTTTATTTGATTTCCACAGAATACTCGGACAAAGGGGCGTGACAGCTGCTGGGGGCTGCCGGCTGGGTGGCTGGATTCGCCTGTGAAAATTGTAAAAAATTACTTGGGATTTTGTGGGGCACTTCTTGTCTATTTAGGGGCCGAAATTGAGTTCTCAACTTGATTGATACAACAATACGCGCAATAGCAGCCACAGCTACAACAACAACAACAGCCAGGCTGCAATTAATATTGGGCGAGAGACAGCCTCAAGGAGCAACAAGTGGGGATGCTTAGTTGATTAGTGATGTGCTAACAGATACGCTGTATATTTAGCAGCAGATAATCTCTAAGACTAGTGTGAGAAGCTGTTTAATGTTTAACTATGATCAACTGTTCGTTGAGCATATTGTCCAGCCAGCTCTCAAATATTCCAAGTATCAAAGTTATTTTTGACCTCTTTACCCTTTTTACTCATTCAAAGCAATTACTTTAGATTGAGTCGGGGCTATCTTTAGAGCCATCATAATGCTTCATTATGAAAATTATACAACTCACTCTTACAAAATTTCTATACAGGGTATTAAAGGCAAGTAAAAGGCCTTCAATGGTCTTTAAAGATATTTTCTGCTATAACACAACTCGATATATCAAATGGATCTAGGCTATTCAGATATGTCTTTAAAGATCCTTTTACCAATATTGCAAAAGCACTTTGGCGAACATTCAATAAAATCCTTTTGTGATACCTCCCAGCGAGAATCTATGTATATATGTATATATGCACATTAAGCTCGTCCTGTATTTATGGCCCTTGGGCCTTGTTAATCTCAGCTATTTGGCAACAGTGTAAGCAGCCGGGTCGTCTCATTAAATTACTCAAAATATTAATGCAGCTGCTTCCAGGCTGACAAGCACCAGGCTGCTTACACACCTCCTTTGCCCCCTCCTTAGCGGGGTTGCGGGCCGGCTCCACATATAATCGCATTTTAAACTTTTTCAATAATAAACTTTTCTAAACGGATTTCCCGCTGGACGTTGCGCTTTAATAATTTTCTGTCATATCCTTTGCAGGCGGGCGAGCAGCAACAGTTGATAGCCACGAACTCAAACCGAGAGCTAGCCAGACAGTGTGAGAGAGATAGACAGTGAGAGTGAACGAGACAAACTACATCAAAGCCATTAATTCAAATTGAGGATTATGAGCGCAGCGGCAACAGCAACAGCAACAGCAACAGCAGCAACAACTAGTAAAAGGTGAAGTTGCACAAACTCTGCTTAAACTCTGCTCCGAGCTGAAAGTTATCCAACTAACTCTTTGATATCTCTGCCCATTCTCGTTGCAGCCCACGCCAATGTATGACAAATCAAAGAAAACTTGGAGTCAGCGGCTCAAAATCAGCAGCGACAATAAGAACGCTTCTCTAGCCACAGCCGGCGGCATGCAGACCCTTCAGCTGCTGCACATGCAGCAGCAGCAGCAGCAACAGCAGCAGCAGCAGTTGCAGCATCAGCAGCAGCAGCTGCAATATCATCATCAACAGCAGCAGCAGCAGCAGCATCATCCCCATCATCATCTGGCATATCAGCTGCCGCCGCCCCCTGCTGCACCGCCGCCTGGCTATGAGTTCCTGCCCAGCGCGCTCTCGCGCTCCATGAAGTACGCAGAGCCCTGGATCTATGGCACGGTGCGTGGCATACCCGCCCGCCCCTCCTACGGCTACGGACACCCGCATGCTGCGGCTATCTTTGCGACGGATGGCGAGCCTGGCGGAGCGACGGCACTGGCCGTTGTGATCTGTTCGTGCGCAGAGTATCTGAACGGCACGAAACGTGATGTGAAGAAGGCGAGCGTGTGCAAGAAGTGCAGAGGTTCACGCCTGCCCCTGGCCACCATCAGTGGCGGCGGCACCGTGCGACTGCCAGCGGCAGCTGCTGCCGTTCGCCGTCCGATGGCGGCGACAATGCGCGTGGTTAGCGCCACCAAAAAGTCACGTCCTACGATTCTGGATCCACAAAAGGATCCCTATGACCTGATGCGACGCACGCGGCTGCTATCGCCGGAGCCCAGCGCCGCCGAGTCAAGCGCCAAGGAAGGCAAGTCACGTAGCCGCGAAACAACTGCCACAGCCACATCCACAGCCACAGCCGCTGCCTCGTCCAATGGCAAGGCGGCAGCGACTGCCACGAGCATGCAGCGCGGACGCACCAGAACGCGGGCCCAGCTGCCCCTAGCTCGCACATCGAAGAGCACGCCCACGGCTCCGCCAGATCCGGCCGATTGCTGGCTGGAGGAGGACAGCGAGGCGCTGCTGCAGAGCAGCGGGCTGCTCAGCAAGCGGCAGGCGGCCAGCAATTCGCGTCGCTCCATCTTGCGCTGCAATGTGAATCCTTACGAACTGATCTCAGTCGAAAGCCAAGCCAAGACCAAAAACAATGATGACTTTGATGTGGCCGATGCACAGCTGCACGAGGATGAGCTCGAGCAACAACAGCAGCAAAAGCAGCCACAGCTGCAAAAGCAGTCACAGCAACAACAGCAGCAGAAGCAGCAGCAGCAAAAGCAGCAGCAGCGCAGCAAGTTCTACAATAATAATGTGGCAGCAATTGCTGGTCAGCGCATTAGCCTGGGCGATAAGTCGAACGATGCTGGCGACTCCAGCGATGGCTATGAACGCATTATAATTGCCACAGAGCCGACGCCGCCCGCAGCTGCAACAGTTGCCAGCAATCCAAGGCGTCCACCGCGCAATAAGAAGCCAGAGGAATCGCCTAATCTCGCACTCGTCGATGCACAGCCAGCGGCAACTGTTGCAGTTGCCGTTGCGGCTGACGATGATTCAAACAGCTCGGAGGCTTATACCGTGCTCACTGTGACGCCCACTTCGCCCGGCATCAAGTCCATACTGAAGCGGCCAACCACACTGGAGCTGAACGCTCCTTTGCTGTCGCCTGACACCGGCTTGACGCCTGCAACGGCGCCTGTGTTGACGCCCGCGGGCAAGTCACAGTTCTATATACCAACGCCAACGACGCCGGGGACAGCGACAGCAGCAGCAGGAGCAGGAGCAGGGGGTACGGCATCTGCCACGCCCACGCCCACGTCTGCGTCGAGTACACGCAAAAAAGTGCAATTTATGGTTGAGGATAAAATCATAGACACGACTACGGATGCTGAAGCAGTCACGGCGACAACTGATGACAGCGAGAATTCCGTTGTTGTTGCTGCAGATGATGAGACAACAGCAGCAGCAGCAGCAGCAACAGCAACACCAACAGCAACAACAGCAAACTACGAGTACTACAATCGCAAGCGCAACGCAGCCACACAGCAGGCAGCAGCACAGCAGCAAGAGCAACAGCAGCAGCAGCAGCAGCAGCAACTGACATTGCCAGCGCTTGAATCTGACATTGATGATGAGTATAACTTTACAGCTTCCGCTGAGCCAAAAGCAACAACTGCAACGCTGGCCACGCATATTACGCCAGATAGTTTGCATTATGAAGATGTGCTGCCGCCTGTGCATCAAATATTTGACAATAGTCGCCGCAGCAGCAACAGCAGCAGCAGCAGCAACAAGAACAACAACACTGATGCTTGCCAAGTAGCTGAAATTTTGCCAAACTCAACAACTGCTGCTGCCGCTCCTGATGGCTCCAAATTATTATTGTCGCCGGCAAGTCCGAGCCATGCTGGGTCAACAGCAACAGCAGCGACAGCAACAGGAACAGCAGCAACATCACCGCATGTCACTATGGCAAATGTTGTTAGCGCTTTAGCAGCGGGTAAGTACAGAGACAACAGCAGCGAAATTCACTGCTGTTGCAGCTACTACTACTATATACATACATATATATATACCACGGCCCCTTTTGCAGCCCTCTTAAGCGCCATCCCGCCCCACATTGGCCTTGTCAGGCAACGCGGCAACTTTTGCCTTTTGTTAGCTTTTAATTATGAGCAAAATTTTTGCGCGCTGCATCTAAAAGAATGCAATGTGAGCAGTTTTTCGTATACACTGTGATAGCGAGCATATTAGCTGCTCAGCAGCCGCTGAACCAATTGAATTAGTAACTGAAATTGAACTATATCTAGTTTTAGATTTGAATCGCTCAATAGTTTCGTCAAGTCAAGTTTTTAGTCAACTAAGAAATAACTTTAGCCCTTTTTCACTCATCATTTTACATATATATATCCAGCTCTCATTTTCCCTACGCACTTTCATAGCTGAGCGACTCCAACTTACTCTCACCCAGTGCCTTTCGCTTGTCTCTCTTGCCGCGCGTGTCATTCTCTCGCCTTCGCTCCCATTCGTCTATCGTGTGTCCACACTTGCCGCAGTGTTTGCCTTTGACTAAAAACGTTGCAATTGTTTGTTAATTGCTCATCAGCATGCGCTAGTGCTCTCTCATTTTTCTTTTGTCCTCCTCTCAGTCTCTCTCTCCGTCCCTCATTTTCTCTGGGTTTCCTTTTGGTGGAAATTACGTATACGCCAAGTAATCCTCCACTGAATGCATTAAAAATTTCTTATAACTATGAAATAGTTAAGCAAACAATTGCAGCACCTAAACTGTCACGCACACATACTAAAGCGCGCACACACGCGCACAGACTCACACTTGCACACACGAGTCAAGGCAATTGAATTGGCGACGTTTGAATGGAATGGAAGCTCTTGTTGTCGTTGACATTGGCGCACCTGCTGCAAGTTCACCGGGTTAACACTATAATCAAGCGCAGGCTAAATCCACAGCTGGTGGCTGTAAAGGACTCCCTCCTCACACACACACACACACACACACATGCTGAGCTGCGAGCAGCTGGCAAAGTCAACTTGACATTTGCACCCACAAATGGCAAACCGACTGCGCGATAACTCCCCTAACTATAGGGGATATATATATATGTATTTAGTTACACATATAGACTGTTTGAGAGTGGGCGTGGCCAGCGCCTGCACATGCTCAACTTTAACTTCATTCAAAGCAAATTAACAGAAGACACAAAAAGTTTTTATTCAATTAAATTTTGACGGCGGCAAATGTCGAACATGGCAAAAAATAGACTTGAGCTGCGGATCGAGTGGGGTGGTTATACTGGGCTACAAGCTAATAAATAATAGAAGAATTGACTGTCTGGGAGATAGAGTGAGGGAGAAAGCGAGTGTGAGAAAGAGAGAGAGAGAGAGAGAGAGAGAAAGAATGTCAGAGATAGAGCAACGAATAAAATAATGACTAAGTTGCATAGAGGATTTTTCAGTTTTCAGTTAAGTTTAGTATAGCTCAGATATATATTAAGTAGAAGAAGAAGAGTGTTGCCGAAATAGAGCATACAATTTACTCCAGGGAATGTTGTTAGTATTCTTTAAAGCATACCTGCTGCTGCTGCTCTCTTTCTTACCTCTACATAGCCAAACTAAGTTAACTCAGCGATTACTCTTTAGAGTATTTTTGTTTTCAATCACATACATGCAGCTCAACCACTGCTCGCCTCTCTGGCACACTCCCATCTCAGCCACCTTGACCCTCGCTCAAATTTCAAAGCCCTTCACTCAACATTTTCGATTTACTCTCCCTTTCAACAGCGAACGGCTGACAGAGTATTGAGCAGTCGGCTGCAGTTGAAGGCATTTTGAGGTAGCAGCTGCTGTAACTTTGGCATGCGCCTGTATTGTGTAGCACAGTGTTATATGGCGCTGGCTGGCTGGCATGCCTAATGCCCTGCTATTTCAGCAATGCGGGCCACAAAGACAATGTCAACGCACAAACTGAGGCAAACTGAGGCGCTGGCTGTTGAGCAGCCACAAATGCGATGGTCGCGACAACGGCGATGATGATGACGATGTTGATGTTGATGACGATGATAATGATTATGGTTGCCTATTACCTGCAACATGGCATGCACTTTATTCCATGGCATACACCTTCGCCTTCACACTGTCTTCAGCATATATGTGAGAGCCGGGGCGCCCACGTGTCTCTGCCAGACAATTACAAAGTTGCTCCTTTGGCTGGCTGTTGGCTGCAATTTGTTGCATTGTTTGTCGCCTGCCGCTGGGGCTAGAAGGGTACGCAAGGGCAGGAGCTGAGGCTAGTGTCGCGTTCTGCGCCTCGGCCAAGAGTTAAGCACTTGGAACTTTTCAAACTATTTTTGATTTGATTTTTGAAATGAGTGCGCTTACATAGAGCCCGCTAGGTGCGCTGTGCAGCTGCCTCTGCCCCTGACTCTGCCTCTGCCTCTTCTGTTCTCTCTTCCAGCTGAGTTGATTTATAGCGCACGTGTTGCATTTTGCCTGGCTGCGAATCAAAGTGAAAGGCATTAAAGTGATACGAGTCGAGCTCTGTCCCGTTCGCCCGGTGAAATTTGCATTTTTCTGTGTCACACGAATTCGCCAACGCGATTGCTCCCATCATATTTAATGTGCTCACAGCCCCACAGTCCTCAGTCCACAGCCCCGCAGCGTGTCCCGAGCATTATTAATATTTCATATTTGTCTTTGAT